TTAGGCAGGTTTTACTTTTTCACCCAGGCTGGAGTGAAGTGGCACCATCTTGGCTCACTGCAACCTCTGCCTCTCAGGTTCAATCAATTCTGCCTCAGCCTCCTGAGAAGCCAGGATTATAGGTGCCCGCCACCTCACCTGCCTATTTTTTTTTTTTCTTTTTGAGACAGTGTCTCATTCTGTTGCTCAGGCTGGAGTGCAGTGGCACAATCTCAGCTCACTACACAATCTCAGAATCCCAAGTTCAAGCGATTCTCCTGCCTCAGCTTCCTGAGAAGCCAAGATTATAGGTGTCCTCCACCCTGCCCAACTAATTTTGTTTCTTTGTTTTCTGTTTGTTTTTGAGACGGAGTCACTCTGTTGCCCAGGCTGGAATCCTCTGTCTCCTGGGTTCAAGTGATTCTCCTGCCTCAGCCTCCTGAGTAGCTGGGATTACAGCCACCCACCACCATGCCTGGCTAATTTTTGTGTTTTTAGTATAGAGGGGGTTTCACCATGTTGGTCAGGCTGGTCTGGAACTTTACCTTGTGATCTGCCCGCCTCAGCCTCCTGAAGTGCTGGGATTACAGGCGTGAGCCACTGCCTCCCGCCTAATTTTTGTATTTTTATTACAGACAGGGTTTCACCATATTGGCCAAGCTGGTCTCGAACTCCTGACCTCAGGTGATCCACCTGTCTTGGCCTCCCAAAGTGCTAGGATTACAGGCATGAGCCACTGCACCCAGCCCAGATAAATACTATTATCCTCATTTTACAGATGGGCAAAGCAAAACTGCAGAGAGATTCAGTAACTTGCCCTTGTTGACAGAGGCAGGATTAAAACCTGGGCAGCCTGGCTCTGACACCATGCTCATATCCACTGAGCTACACAATTTCCAGAACGCTGGCATGTGACTGACACATGTGCCTGATGCTTTCCAGGTACTGGGATGCAGACCAGGACACAGATTCTACAATTGTGACCTCACTGTCTGTGGGGAGAGAGACATAAATAGCAATGTCCCAACAATGAGCTGTCACTGTTATTTTAAGTGTTGCAAGCTTAGTACCTTAACAGTATCTAGAAAGGGACCATTCTATCTGGAGGGGTCAGGGAGAGCTTCCCTGCAGAAATGGCACCAATGCTGAGGTCTAAAGAGTGACAAGGAAGGCCAGGCACAGTGTCTCACGCCTGTAATCCCAGCACTTTGGGAGGCTGAGGCAGATGGATCACCTGTGGTCAGGAGTTCAAGACAGCCTGGCCAACATGGCTAAAACTGGTCTCTACTAAAAATACAAAAATTAGCTGGGCATAGTGGCGTGCACCTGTAGTCCCAGCTACTCAGGTGGCTGAGCCAGGAGACTCGCTTGAACCTGGGAGGCAGAGATTGCAGTAAGCCGAGATTGTGCCATTGCATTCCAGCCTGGGCATTAGAGTGAGGCTTCATCTCAAAAAAAAGAGTGACAAGGAGTAGGCCAGGCAAAGCAGTGGGGGCGGGGTGTGCAGCAGAAAGGGGTGCAGGTGAGAGGGAACAATGCCCCAGATTAGGTGAGTGCTCTGCCTAGTCACCAGGGCAACAGTGACAGGGCATAAGGACCCTGCCCTGGCCTCCAGGGATCTGGTCACTCTCTCTGTGACCCTGCACCACCTCCCTATCAGCTATCATTGAGGAATACTCAAAGCTCGCTCTCTCTCTCTCTCTCTCTCTTTTTTTCTTTTGAGACGGAGTCTTGCTCTGTTGCCCAGGCTGGAGATGGCATGATCTCGGCTCACTGCAACCTCTGCCTCCCGGGTTCAAGCAATTCTCCCGCCTTAGCCTCGTGAGTAGCTGGGATTACAGGCACTCGGCGTCATGCCCGGCTAAATTTTGTATTTTTGTAGAGATGGGGTTTCACCATGTTGGCCAGGCTGGTCTTGAACTCCTGACCTCAGGTGATCTGCCTGCCCTTCACCTCCCAAATTGCTGGGATTACAGGGGTAGCCACCATGCCTGGCCTCATAGTTCTCTTTGAGGTGGCAGCAGGACAAATCTGTGGATGTGTCCAGGAGATGTTTGCTACCAGGTGGCCCAGAAGGAAGTTAATCACTTTAGTGCCTGATTTGCAGGAGTCATGATGATTCAGGGGAAAAGGCAGTTGGCTGCATTCTGGAAGGTAATTCAGTCGGCTGGGCTATCCAGGTGTAGAGATGCTAATCAGAGACCAGCTGGGGCAGTGCTGTTTTTGAAAGTAAGGCCCTAGTGGTTTTTGCAGAAAGAACAGCTCTGGCTGAGGGCTTGTTTTGGACATTCCTGGCTTTCCTAAATGAATTAAAAGGCAAACGTGGGTTTTTTTGAAATGTTCTTCAGCCTTAGACACCTGATGAACCTTCCTGACAAGATGGGCAATTTCTGGACCCTGCTGGCAGCAGCAGGACTGTCGCTATGAACGGCTGGGCAGCTCTCATGGGTCAGGCACTGCTCAGAACAAACAGGGTTCATACTGACCAGCTGAGCAAAGACAGCAGCACCAATAGCGGGGTAGGGGAACCAGCAGTCTTCTACCTTCCAGGTAAAGCTGGCTTTTCCTTCCTGTAGGCAACGTGAAAATGTTCTTGTCCTGTGGCCCAGATGCTCTACTACTGGCAATTACCCAAGACCTCCCACCAGTGCATAGGAAGCCCTTGTTGATAGAGGCAGGATTAAAACCTGGGCAGCCTGGTTTTACAAGGGTGCTTACTGCAGTGTGGCTTGAAATGGTTAAAAAAAAAAAACTGCAAACACGCTGGGTATGGTGGCTCACGCCTATAATCCCACCATTTTGGGAGGCCGAGGCAGACAGATCACTTGAAGTCAGGAGTTCGAGACCAGCCTGGCCAACATGGTGAAACCCTGTCTCTACTAAAAATACAAAAATTAGCCGGGCATGGTGTTGGGTGCCTGTAATCCCAGGTACTCAGGTGGCTGAGGCAGGAGAATAGGTTGAACCCGGGAGGCGAAGGTTGCAGTGAGCCAAGATTGTGCCACTGCACTCCAGCCTGGGCAACAAGAGTAAAACTCCATCTCAAACAAAACAAAACAAAACAAAACAAAACCAAAAACCTGCTAACATCCCTAACATATCCTAATGGAACTGGCTAAATCCAGGGTGGATGTCTTTACCACGGACCACTGTGCAGCCATGAAGACATGTCCCATAAGCAGCGGCCTGTAAGTCCCCAGCAGGTAAAATAAAACAAAATGTATTATATTATCCCATTAAAAAAAAAGACAAAAATCAGCTGCATTTCCATACACTAACAACGAACAATCTGAAAAGGAAATTATAAAAACAATTATATTTATAATGGCATCAAAAAGAAGAAAATAGACTCGGGGTGGTGGCTCACACCTGTAATCCCAGCACTTTGGGAGGCCAACGGTGGGTGGATTAGGTCAGGAGTTTGAAGCCAGCCTGGCCAACATGGTGAAACCCCATCTCTACTAAAAATACAAAAAATAGCCTGACGTGGTTGCAGGCGCCTATAATTCCAGCTATTCATGAGGCTGAGACAGGAGAATTGCTTGAAATCAGGAGGCGGAGGTTGCAGTGAGCCGAGGTCACACCATTACACTCCCAGACTGGGCGACAAGAGTAAAACTCCATCTCAAAAAAGTAAAATAAAATACTTAGGAATTAACCAAGGTGGTGAGACTGTCCAGTGAAAATTACAAAGCATTGCTAAAAGAAATTAAAGAATACATAAATAAATGGAAACCTATGTCATGATCATAGATTGAAAGACTTAATTTTTTTTTTTTTTTTTTAGGTTAATGGGAGTATCCCTATATTAAACAAAATGATATTGGATATCTGGGCTCAGGCAATCCTCCGCTTTGGCCTTACAAAGTGGTACAATTACAAGCATGAACCACTGTGCCTGTCCTGGAAGACCTAATATTGTTAAAAGGTTTACGTGTCCCAAAGCGATTGACAGATTCAGTGCAATCCCTGTCAAAATCTCAATGCCATTTTTGCAAAAATAGAAAATTCTGTTCTAAAATTCATATGGAATCTCAAGGGACCCTGAATAGCCAAAACAATCTAGAAAAAGAGGAACTAAGCTGGAGGACTCATACTTCCTGATTTCATTTCTTTCTTTTTTTATTTTTTGAGATGTAGTCTTGCTCTGTTACCCAGGCTGGAGTGCAATGGCTCGATCTCAGCTCACCGCAACCTCGAACTCCCAGGTTAAAGTGATTCTCCTGCCTCAGCCTCTCAAGTAGCTGGGATTACAGGCACCTGCCACCGCACCTGGCTAATTTTTGTATTTTTAGTAGAGACAGGGTTTCACCATGTTGGCCTGGCTGGTCTCAAACTCCTGACCTCATGGGATCTACCTGCCTCCGCCTCCCAAAGTGCTGGGATTACAGGCATGAGCCACTGCGTCCACCAAGAATGGTCTTAATATTTATTATTATTATTATTATTATTTTAGAGATGGGGTTTCACTATGCTGGCCAGGCTGCTTTTGAACTCCTGACCTCAGGTGATCTACCCGCCTCGGCCTCCCAAAGTGCTAGGATTATAGGCGTGAGCCACCACGCCCGGCAAGAACAGTCTTTTCAACAAATGGTGGTGCAAAAGAATGAAGTTGGAGCCTTACTTAATACTGTATACTGTATAAAAATTAACTCAAAATGGGTCAAAGACCTAAATGTAAAACCTAAAACTATAGGGCAATAGCTTGACACCACTGGATTTGGCAATAGTTTCTTTGCTATGACACCAAAGGCACAGGCAACAACAACAAAAATAGACAAATTGGACTTCATGAGCATTAAAAAACTTCGTGCATCCAAAGACAGTGTCGGTAGAGTAAAAAGGTAATTCACAGATGGTAGAAAATATTTACAAATCATATATCTGAAAAGGGATTAAGATCCCTTTTAAGATCACGCCTATAATCCCAGCACTTTGGGAGGCGGGCTTGGTGGTAGGTGCCGGTAATCCCAGTTACTCAGGAGGGTGAGGCAGGAGAATCACTTGAGCCCGGGAGGTGGAGGTTGCAGTGAGCCAAGACCTTGCTACTGCAGTTCAGCCTAGGCAACAGAGCGAGACTCTGTCTCAAATTAAAAAAAAAAAAAAAAAAAGATAGATACTGTATGATTCCACTGATATAAACTACTTAGAGCTGTCAAAATCCAAGAGACAGAAAGTAAAATGGTGGTTGCTAGGGCCTGGGGGAAGGGGAAATTGGGAGTGTTTAATGGGTTCAAAGTTTCAGTTTTGCATAATGAAAAAATTTATAGGGATGGTTGCACACCATTATCAATGTATTTAATACCCCTGACCTATATACTTAAAAATGGTTAAGATGTAATTTCATGTTATATATATTTTGCCACAATAAAATAATTGAAGGAAAAAAAGAAAATATCACTTCAAGCTTTGAAAAAACCATCTGAGTCCACACATAACACTGTGAACAAAGGTTATCTCTGGGAAGGATCATACAGAGGACTTTCACTTTTTAAACATTTTAGAGTATAAAATTTTGCAATGCTTGAATTTTATAATGATGAGCATGTACTACTTTTGATTTGAGATCTTTCTTCTTCTTGGGCAGCTGTTGCCCAGGGAAGAATGCAGTGGTGGGATCACGGCTCACTGTGTCCTCAACCTCCTGGGCTTAGGTGATCCTCCTGTCTCAGCCTCTCCAGTAGCTGGAACCACAGGCGTGTGAGTGCCACCATGCCCAGGTAATTTATTTTCTTTCTTTTCTTTTCTTTTCTTTTCCTTCCTTCCTTCCTTTTCTCTCTCTTTCTTTCTTTCTTTCCTTCTCTCCTTCTTTCTTCCTTTCTTTCTTTCTTTCTTTTCTTTCCTTCTTTCTTTCTTTCTTTCTTCTTTCTTTTTCTTTCTTTCTCTTTTTTTCTTCCTTCCTTTCTTCCTTCCCTCCCTCCCTCCTCTCTCTCTCCTTCCTTCCCTCCCTCCCTCCCTCCTTCCTCTCTCTCTCTCTCTCTTTCTTTCTTTCTTTTTCTTTCTTTCTTTTTTATTTTTTTGAGACAGAATTTTGCTCTCTCCCCAGGCTGGAGTGCAATGGCACATCTCGGCTCAATGCAACTTCTGCCTCCTGGGTTCAAGACATTCTCCTGCCTCAGCCTCCCCAGTAGCTGGGATTATAGCTGCCTGCCACCAAGCCTAGCTAATTTTTGTGTTTTTAATAGAGATGGGGTTTCACCAAGTTGGCCTAGCTGGTCTGGAACTCCTGACCTCAAGAGATCCTCCCACCTCAGCATCCCAAATTTGCTGTGATTACAGGCATGAGTCACTGTGCCTAACCTCAGGTTATTTTTTCTTAAAAATTTTTTGTAGAGAGGATCTCCCTATTTCCCAAGCTGGTCTCAAACTCCTAGGCTCAAGTGATGCTCCCGCCTCTGCTTCCCAAAGTGTTGGGATTACAGGCGTGAGCCACTGCTTACAATGTTTTCTTCTTTTTAACGTAAATGTTTATTACTGTAATCTTCCCTCTTATTACTGTGTTAGCTGCACCCCATATGTTAAGGTATGGTGTGTTTTCATTGTCATTTGTCTCAAGATATTTCTGAGTTTCCCCCCGCTCCCCCCCTTTTTTTTTTTGAGACAGCGTCTTGCTCTGTCACCCAAATTAGAGTGCAGTGGCACAATCTCAGCTCATTGCAACCTCTGCCTCCTGGTTCAAGAGATTCTCCTGCCTCAGCCTCCCGAGTAGCTGGGATTACAGGCACCCACCACCATGCCCAGTTAACTTTTTATTTTTATTTTTTTTTATTTTTTATTTTTTTTGAGACGGAGTTTCACTCATGTTACCCAGGCTGGAGTGCAATGGCGCGATCTCGGCTCACCGCAACCTCCACCTCCTGGGTTCAGGCAATTCTCCTGTCTCAGCCTCCTGAGTAGCTGGGATTACAGGCACGCACCACCATGCCCAGCTAATTTTTTGTATTTTTAGTAGAGACGGGGTTTCACCATGTTGACCAGGATGGTCTTGATCTCTTGACCTCGTGATCCACCAGCCTCGGCCTCCCAAAGTGCTGGGATTACAGGCTTGAGCCACCGCGCCCGGCAACTTTTTATTTTTAATAGAGATGGGATTTCACCATGTTGGGCAGGCTGGTCTTGAACTCCTGACCTCAGGTAATCTACCCACGCCAGCCTCCCAAAATGCTTGGATTACAGGCATGAGCCACAGCACCCGGCCAATTTTTAAACCACAGAAGTGGTGATTAAAACGAGAAGAATGTCTTGGTTAGGTGCAGTGACTCACACCTGTAATCCCAGCACTCTGAGAGGCTGAGGCAGGTGGATCACCTGAGGTCATAAGTTCAAGACTAGCCTGGCCAACATGGTGAAACCCTGTCTCTACTTAAAATACAAAAAATTAGGTCAGGCATGCTGGTTTATCCCTCTAATCCCAGCACTTTGGAAGGCCAAGGCGGGAGGATCATCTGAGGTTGAGAGTTCAAGACCAGCCTGCCCAACATGATGAAACCTTACCTCTACTAAAAATACAAAATTAGCCAGGCATGGTGGTGCATGCCTGTAATCTCAGCTCTTTGGGACGCTGAGGCAGGAGAATTGCTTGAACCTGAGAAGTGGAGGTTGTGGTGAGCTGAGATCACGCCATTGCACTCCAGCCTGGGCAACAAGAGCAAAACTCCATCTCAAAAAAATAA